TTAATCTTTGCTCTTTTGCACCAGTCTTCACAAAACTGGAAGTGCAGCACAAAATAGACTCTATAGTACCTGCTTTAGGACAGGAGCATGTGATAAATTACTTGCCTAGGAGGAGATGAGGTTATTAATCAAAGTGGCTTCAGGGTGTAGTGTTTTGAAGTTGTGTTGAGTATTAAGTAACAGGTGAAAGGGACGAGGTTTTTCTTTTTGAAACCCTAAATCTAAGCCTGTTCGATAAAATGAAGCAGATGCCTGTTAGCCAGGTTGTCACAGAAAAAAAATCTTCATCAAGAGCCAGTGTAAATTAAAGCCTTCAAATCAAAATCAGGACTTAGAGGTTGCTTTGCCTTTCTTTTCATAATAAACAATGACACGGTTTGGTCTCTTACACTATTTGTTCAAGATGACTTGAATGGCAGGAGTCGAACACAACTCTGCTGTCCCCTACACTTACGAGCACCTCCTGATTGAATGAAGGTTTTACTTTGCATTCTGAGATTCTCCTTTCCAGCTTAATTTGTTTTCCAAGAAACCATCTCATCCACTGCTGAGCTACACTGCCAAGGAACACAAATTCATAGCACTTACTGACAGCATCACACAAGATTTGTCCTACAGAGCTCCAGAAAGAGGAAAACTACTACTGAAGGAAGAGTTGAGTTAGCATGTGTGAACACGCATGATTTACTCATGCATGCCCATTCATGACAGAATAAACTCTTGCTTGCTTCTGCTGCTCAGGGCCTTTCTGTCAAAGGTTTTTCATTTTGCTTTACAGCATAACCTTTGGAATACAGAATACATCGTAGCTTGGTTTGAATTTCTGGTTAAGGGTTAGAACTTTTTGTAGTGGGGGGAGGGAACCTGCATTTCAATACAGTCTTCCCCTTACAGTTTTATTGCATACTAAAATCTGGGCTACATGGAACACAGCAACCTTCTGAGGAAGACACTGATACCATACACAATGCAAATCTCTGCTGGGACTAGGTGAATGGTTTATTTAGACAGCTGAATTGTCCCCCTTGCAACTGAAATTCAAACTGGTGATGCCCTTGCAAGACCATGGAACCGGCTGTGACTAGTCTAGAAGAGCACTGGGATATATATTTGACACTGCCTGCCACAGTAGTCTTGTATCCAAGTCAGGACGTTACAGTCTGGATGAACAGACCACCACATAATTAAGAAACCAGTCTGATGGTTGGGCTCAGAGGGCAGTGGTTAATGGGTTGTACTCTGCCTGGAGGTCAGTTACAAGTAGAGCGCCACAGGGTCTATACTAGGATTCATCCTGCTTAGCATCTTTATCAGGTACCTAAAGGAGGTGTTAGATGACACTCTTGCCATGTTTGTGGATGACACCAAATAGGTGGGACCAGTCAATACACACACTCCATGGCAGAGCTGCCACCCAGAGGGACCCAGACAGGCTGGAGGGACGGGCCAACAGAAACCTGATTAAATTCAACAAGGACAAAGGCCAAGTCCTGCACCTGGGGAGGAAGGACCCCCTGCAATGATACAAGCTGGGCACTGCCTCCCTGGCTGGGGAGCAGCTCTGCAGAAAGGTCCTGCAGGTCATGGTGCAAAGGCAGCCAACAACATCCCAGGATGCATTCGCAGGAGTATGGCCCATAGACCAAGGTATGTGATTATCTCCCCGTACTCAGTACTTGCAAGAGTGCATCTAGATACTACATCCAGTTTTGGTCCCCACAACACAAGACAGACAATGATAAACTGAGGTGAGTTCAGATGGGAGCCACCAAGGTGGCTGGAGACTGGAATACTTGCCCTGCAAGGAGAGGCTGGGGGGAATGGGGCTTGTTCAACCTAAGCAGGACATGGCTTTGCAGGGTGGGACTAACATCAGCCTGTAGAGCCTGCGAAGAGGTCATCAAGACAGTGGAGACAAGCTCTTCAGCAGTGCACAGAAGTAGGACAAGAGACAATAGGCATAAATTGCAATTGGGGGCTTTCAGACTGGGTATAAGGAGAAACTTTTTCACTATGAGGACAATCAAGCAGGGCAACAGCTGGCCCAGAGAAGTTGTGCAGTCTCCATTTTGGAGAAGACTCAGTGGTTTTCAAGACCAGAGTGGATAAAGCCTGGAACAACCTGGTCTGACTTCACAGCTAGCTTTGCTTTGAGCAGGGGACTGAACTACAGGCCTTTCAAGATCCCTTCTGACTCGAATTATCCAGCGACTCTGTATGAAAGAAGTTCCCCATCCAGCTATCACTAATCCATGAGGAACACCTGCACTGTAGCATCCTCACCTCAGTAGGTATTTAGAGAATATGAGAGTGAAAGCTTTCACAAAGTTGAACTCCACTGCAATAAGAAAGAAAATCTTGTGCATTCAGTGGCTTTCTCCCGTTTTTCCACTGTTCAACAGCAGCGCGCTACAGAGTGCATGTTCAGCACAAAAATTGGGAGGGGAAGAGAAGACGAGCAAGATCAATTTTTACATCTTTATCCTTTCCTGTGGCCAATAAAATACTGCTTTTCTCAGAAGATATACCAGTAAATTCTCAGTTTGCATTTGTGTACCAGGAAATAGGACTCTTCATGACATCCTTTGGAGATTATTCCAGGGCTTAAAAGATTTCACACTCTAACAGTTCCCCAAAATACCCTGACTACGTTTCCTTTGTCAGTCTCATCCTAATATAGTACTAGATAAGTCCTTTACCTCCAGGCTATTTACACTCCCCAGAGAACTGAGGACTGTTACGCCACATAGCAAATTAGAAAGATCAAGTTCTTTTCATCTTTCCTCAAATCCACTCTAACAGCAAAAACCTGTTTGTATTTCTTGCCATAACATCAGGATGGGTTTCCCTTTTTGTGGATGAGGTCCCAGTACTGACTGCAGAATAGCAGGTGTGCTCTCATCCAAGCCAGAGTGTAAACGAGCCCATCCAAGTTCTTGGATTCCCTTGCACACAAAATCCCCAAATTGCATGTTTTCTTTTTAAGGCTAGAACAGCAAGAACTCCAGGAGGCCTTGTCTGTCCTCTCTTCATCAGCCCGATCCAAAGTCTCTGAATTTGTCCAGGGAAATAGTCTCAGTCACTTGGAGGATCTTGGACCAAGTCCCAAATCTTGAAGAATAAAAGCAAGGAGAAAATGAGGCAAATTCACTTCAAACACAGCTGCCTGGAATTCCTGCCTTGAAGTGGGAACGGAAAGACTTTGAGGGTAGGCGGAAGGATTTTTAAAATTAAAAAGAATGGGACGAAGAGTGTGTTTTAGTTTTCTAATTGAAAAAAGTGCTTTGGAAAATATTCTGTGAAACTGTTTTGAATTAACTTACTTATTCAGTCAAGGGAACATTCCACTCACATTCAGCGGAAGAATGAAAACCTGAATGTCACAGTATTTACTTTGATGTTCTCTTCATAAACTGGAGCTTATCAGTGTCTTTATGCAACATACAACTTCTCACGCTGCCTTCCAAATTAAAGAAAAACTAAACAGAACGGTGTGAGGAGAGTCAGCCCATTCAGGTATTTCACAAATAGGAAGGAACGGAAGATTGCAGAATGTACAACAGCTTTATCCTTACCCGGAGAAAGTCAGCTCCTGACTTCACTAATGCCATAGCTTTGCACAGGCGAGCTACCCAAATGCAAAGAGTGCAAGAGGCTGTAAACACTGTTCATAATGCGCCAACACACTTAACCAAATCCTATGCTATGTGTACACAGCTAGAGGAAAGCCTGGTTGCATGCGTTACATGTGCATTGTGTTCCTTGGCTGCCCTCCAGCCAGCTGCTTTCATGTCAGGTAACTGGCCCAGAAAGTTATATAGTCAGAATTTGCAGCTACACCCTTCTCATTCACAGAAGGTCTTACAATCACTCTGTATTACCATGATAACCTGAGAACTGACTGTTCTCAGCAGGTCTGGTATATCACAAGACTCATATGCTTCTTCTGGATCAGGTCATTAATCATTTGCTCTGTGACTAATTCTTCTAAAATCAAAACAACCAACGTAAGGCACATGTCAAAGAAAAGCCGTCTCTCTCTCCCCCCAGATGTTTCACTAACGCACAGCCTAGTATAGTTACAGTATGACTAAGAAGCAGGAAAATGCTTCTTTTTTCTGCTCTTATCTTCAAAATGGTCCAATCAGTAAAGCTGAACCAAAAGAAAATACTAAAGAAAAACTAGAATTTAACTGAAAAGGACATCTTGCATTTTATAACAAACCAAACAAACATTGCCTGCTTGCTTTGTAAATCTTACAGAATTAAGATTTCCTTAGCTCAGGCTGCCTATTTCTTAAAAAACAAAGACAAGCAGAACTAGCTGCAGGCAATGAAGTATATTAGCATTTGAATTCATGCTTGTATTTCCTCTGAGGGAAAAACTCTCTTAAAAGCAACCTAAGGAACTTCCTCAAATGCATTCTGGAAACAGTTATTTGAGACTTGAACATTTCTGATGTCTTTACAGTTCCTTAAAAACAAACTGGGAAATGTTAAAAAAAACATAGACTGCTGCCAATTTCAAAACAGGATGTTTCTGTTGTCGATGTCTGTAATTAGGACCAGTGACCTTGAAAATGTAAACAACCCATCCATTACCTCTTATTATTGTTGCAAATATTTTTTTTCTCTTTATAAACTTGGCTGTATGAGTAGTCCAGCGCTCATACTCAGGCAAAGACCGGAACTTCCACAGGAATGAAAATACTAGCATCCAATGTCACCAACTAGTTCAAGGGAAAAGGAAGGGAGGTGGAGGGAAGTATTTAGTATATGGCTAGTGGTTTAAAATCAAGGTGGCTGTTATCAGCACACAGAAAAAGCAAGACAGAAAAGGTACCCCTACAAAAAATGCATTACAAGTATTGCTGAAGAAAGACCCATTGTCAGGACATAACCTTGGAAACTGCCCAAACTCCTGAGAAAGCATGGGGGAAGTTCTGCAGCTTTCCCAACACCTAATCCTGCAATCAGAAGCCTGACCCCCAAGTCCTTACCTTCTGATGTCCAAATTCGTTCAATATTGTGCCCAGTTTCTTGGTGTTGCTGTGAAGTTTATGAGCAGCAATGGCTGGATTGGGATCCCTCCAGTCAATGGACAGGCGATGATACCAGAGGTGCCGACCCTCCTGAATGTGTGCTGACTTGATGCTGGGGTCAAAGCGATGTACCTCACATCCACTGTTAGCCATGTTGATCTCAAACTGGTTGTCATCGCTGCCTAGCCTGCGAAACGCAAAAGATGTAACTATTAATGCTGCAAAAAGAACTATTAGTGAGTAGGACATTCTGAGGATTCATAGTAAAAGAAGGTAAAATCCAACCTATTTGTTTCTGAAGCAAAGTGGAGGAGCTGTTGTGCTCCTTCTTGGGATATATCCACAGCACTGAGCATAATCTAACCCTAATTCTGACAGGATAACCAGAAATAAAGCTAAGAGTCCACAATAATACCTGCTGAAGATTTGGAATAAGTAGTTAGATAAAGGAAATTTAAAGGAACGTGTGTTCTTTCCCAATGTCACATTCATAATTGACGTTAAGAAACTTCTAATGAAATTTTTAATTCTGAAACTACTGGAGTGGATTGGATGAACTAACCTCACCAGAAAATTCAAACTCAATGCAATATCCTGCATACAATTAGAATGAAGTGCTCCTTCCAAGGCAAGAACTAAACCACTTTTAGCCAGGCTGATAACCTTCCCAAAGAGCTTTTTCATAATTCAGAAGTTGACATCATTTATAAGAAAGTAAATTAAATGTTAGAACCTTTGTGCTGTCATTATTCCTCTGTTTATGTTTTATATTTTTATATATTCCTCTATTTTCAATTTGCTTTTTCTTGACAAGATTAAAATACTTTCCTTAGTCTCCCCCCTTAGTCCAATAACCAAGCCATAAGCAGAAGAGCAAATACATTTAAAATTTATACAATACTGTTTTGTAAAAATCAGGCATATTTACCACTGTGTCTATAATCTGGTGTTAAAAAGATGAGCCACAATAGCCACCAAAAGGGACAAGACACAAGAACCAAATGCCTCTCTCTCTGTGCACAGGAAGACACACATAAAAAGGCAAATTTAAAAATAACCTCTTCACAACAGTAACAGAGCTGTTACACAGACTTAAGAGAAAGACTGCTGCCAATTTGGCAAAGACCCCAAAAAAGAAGAAAAATTAATAGCCCCATCGTACAGCAGCATTGTCTCAGTCCCTGTCTCTGCAAGGAGAAGATGTACTTCACAAGGTTGTGCCATATTCCCACCTTCTGTAGCCCATTGGTTCACACAGGGTACGCTAAAACTAAAAAACTCTGGTATTTACCATTGCAATCACGTCTGGACCACAGGCCCTCCCTACTGCATAAAACAGGATGTCCTCTTCATTCCTACTCCTCCAAGCTTGTTCCAAACATGGTTCAAGTCATGCACTACACTTTAAACTTAATCAAAATTATGCTGTTGGATATACACACATGTAGCACTGGGAGGAGAATCAAGATTTTAAAATCAGTGCTTCAAACAGTTGTACTAATTGAGAATATCCACTATGTACTAACAGCATGGCATTTATCTATCAAACACAAACCATTACAGGGCAGTACTGTTAGATGTACTGTAAGGGCACCTGCTACACTATACCACAATTATCCTGAGCAATCGTGTGAGCCTGAAATAACTCTGGCTATTTGCATCAATACATAAAATGCGACACATTTTAAATCATGCTACACTATGGTACGACATTAAGCCAGCACGAAATGATTTACATAGATGACATACTGGTTAAAAAAAAAAAAAAGAAGAATCCAACTCACGAAACAGTGTTTGGAAGAGCATGTTTTGGAAGTTACCAATATGGTATGACACTTGCTGTAATACTGACTAAGCACAGTGTAACGATGCCCTATTAGAAGGTCTTCTCCTCAACCATCTTCCCCTTCGGGCGTCCTGGGAAAGTAGAAGACAGGGTTTGCAAAAAAAGCTCAGTGTGCTTTTAAGAACGACTCTATTTCACAGGATTCCAGCCCGTACAGCCGTGTAGGAGGAAAAGAGAGGAGTTTTCTTTTAATACATTCAACACACATTAGGAAAAAAGTTCAGAAGTTAACCAAGTGAATCGACATATTTGTTTGCATGTGGCTTTCTACAGAAGGAACACTGATGAACAAAGACCAGTGTAATCCCTTAGGAATGAGAAGCTGGCTAAAAATTAACAACATGTGAATTGTTGGGGACAGCTACAGCATTAGAATGATGAGCCTACCAGCGACCGACGGACACATGCGTCCGTGACACACTTCTAACAGTACCAGCTGGTACAATCCACAGGGCCAGATGCTTTTGACGTAGACAAACCTCAGGCTGCCTCCAAACAGACTGCTGCTCATGTGAACTGCAAAGGGAGGTTCACAGTGGTGCAAAACAGAAAAAAAAAATATAGATGAGGGTGAAGAAGGTGCTGATGTATCTTCTGGCACTCTAGCTAACAGCTCAAATTTATGCCTGAAGAGAGATCTAACCAACAACAAATATTTAGGAAAGAAAATAAGTCATCTCCAAAAGAACTGGTTTGAAAAATTCCTGGCTCACGTGATCGTGCCAAGGGATAACACAGCACGAAAAAGGTAAACAAATGAGGTCTCCTAAGAAGTATTTTATATTACCTAAAAGGGGACTGTGACTTTAAAAGAAAGGTGTGGAGGTCACAGAAGACTAGAGAGGCCCTTGCCCACCATCAGGAGAGAGCAGCTGCTGCCTCCAGCAACAGCAAAATAAAAAAGGTTGAAGACACCAACCTATTTTTACTGTAAAGGAGAAGAGAGCTCGGTTACAGAGTCAGCAGTTGCACGCCATCCCCCGTAGCGGTGGGCTTCCAAAGCAGCAGGAACAGCCCCTGCGGAGGGGCCCTCCTAGCCTGCGGAGAGGAAAGGAAGGGCTTGCTGGCACTGCTCCCCGCCGGCAGCAGGGCAGGGAGGCTGACCCGGCACAGAGAGCAGCACAGCAGGGAGCAGCGTCCCTTGGCTGTCCCCTGCTCCCAGGGTTTGCAGAGGGTCACGGCACACGGAGCCTCACGCTCGGAATAAACACTGGGCTGCAGCTTGCACTGAACGGAGCATGGTAGCGGCCCCTGCATCTTCCTGCAGCGCAGCAAGCACGCAGGTGGCACAAAAGCTGCTTTGTCCCCTCCAGCACAGCTCTAGTGGACACCTGTAGCTGATCCAGCCTGATAACTGCAGGTACTCCAGCTCCCAGGACAGAGCTGTAAAAACACGCATGTTAAGGTCCAGCTTTCCCTTTCCGTGTTCCCCCTCCTCCCCTTCTTTCTCAAAGGAAGATAACCGAGCTCCGCAGCTCGGGAAAAAAAGACGCATCCCCTGCCTGGATCCTAAAGCCCCTATACTTTAAGATCTACCTGAAGGGGCTTTTATACAGTATTGCAGCAAGACTCTTTAAACCTCAACCGGTAAATTTCTGAAATCCTATTCATTGATATTATCCCAGCTTGAGTGCCTGCCTGTGGTGTTTGTAACAGATTTAGCTTAATCTAAGCAGATTTAGCACTAATAACTAGAGCTTACTAATGCATATTGCAACTATGTATCATACTGGGAAATCCTGTCCCCCAAGCAAAACCATTACTGCCTCGCCGTAGTGGAAGCAACTAATACTAATCTAAAAAGATTGCCAGACATTTCAGACGCTGCTTGCTCCCATTCACAAGTAACCTCTTCTATAGCATTCAAGAAGGCAAGGCCTAACCAGCATGTTTTGTTCCATTTTTAATGATATATGGATTTAATTCAGGATTCCCAGTAGCACTCGCACTGAACTTTCACATTTGTCCTCCATCCATCCTCTCCACAGAGAATGTTCTTCATTGGAAGCAGCTGCTCCCCCTTTGCTCTTTATGAACTGTATGAGATAACAAAAATGTTTAGAGGGGATTTTTGTCTTACTCAGAACAAAATTACTTTTCTGCCTGTCATAAGCTAAAGGAAGCGAGTCTGAGAGAAGAATTATGCAGTAACGAGCTCCAAAGGCTGCAGAAGTAAACTGGAGGACTGAAGACTGCTCCTTCTTAACCTCAAATATTTCCCTTTGATTTTTTTAGCTGTTTCATGTGATGGTTGGGCATTTACTGCACATGTGTATCTGATGATTGATGGGAGAGCCAACATCAATTTCAATCTCTGTTAAGCCCTATTGTTCCATCAGTACAGAAAATCTGGCATTCAGGCTCCCTGTACCACACCCAAAACCGGCCCCAACATACAAAGCACTGGTACACATGCATTAGCTCAGACCTGTTCAAAATCATTAGCCAGTTATCTTTGTGCTGGTCAGCTTCGTGCCAAATCTGCATTTCCTAGCACAGATGAAATCAACTCTGCATTGTGTGTCTACTGCCCAATTCAACAAAAATACCATTCTCAACCCACACTTGGTCCATAGCAAAAGGGAAGAGGGACATCAATACAGGAGCTCAGGTCTAATATTAATGATCATGTAACTTGAAGGTCAACGTCTAGATTAATTCCACTGAACCTTGAGTACTTTGCCAAGGCATGTGAAGTCAGCAGCCACGTTATCCCAGGCTTCCTCTGTAATCAAAGGAAAGCTATACCTACCTCCAGAATGTTATTTAGCTTAGCTGACTTTCCATCTGAATGAGCCTGCCTCTCCCTACTGACTACTAGAAGGAGCCTCAGGCAATGAGCCAGTACTACAGTCAAGCAGGTAAAGTCTGGACCTGAGCATGGGATAACTCAGCATCTCTCCTAACTTTCACAGGAACGTGAAAAACTGAGGAAAAAAAATCATGTAAGCCTGTATTTTGCATTAAAACCAGGCAGGTATAATTTGAAATAGATTGCAAAGAACATTCAGAAAATAAGAAGCAATAGTAGTTGAGAGGAGTTTGCTCTCCGTATGTGATTTGTCTCTAAGGGGTATGTTGTTGTTGTTGTTCTGCCACAGAGCATCACAGCTGAACAAAACCTGAGAGCCCCTCACCCTCTGAGGAGTTTGGACTTTACAGGTTAATATAAGCTCGATCCAGATATAAGCCCACCCAAATTAACAGAAAACACTCCCTTTCACTGCAGCACACTCTGCATCCACTTTATGTTAATTGCTGGTGTCAACTGCCACGTGCTAATCACTGCGAAATGCCACCCAGACACGGTTCCTTGCTATCCACCATTTGTAAACCCACAGCAGCAAAATCACAGAAATAAACTGCGCTGGTTCAAGGGAGATGAAGCCTTTCAACACACCTCTACCCTAATGCTGGCTCCCAGGACAGCAAAGACAGTTTTATTAGGCTGCAGCCATGCGGTGATCTCTGTGAAACCAGCTCCAGATCCCAGCAATCATTCTCTTAATGCACCCGTGTGCTGACGGTTAATGCAAAAAGCCAGTGGCCTGAGGAACTCTGAGGACTGACCTCCCTTGTCCTCCCCGGAAGCAGAGTGTTTTATTAGCAGGGAAACAGGCTGCATTTGTGGTTTTACTACCTGTGAAAGCACTTGCTCTGTGAAGAGTGAAAACTTCAATCTCAAGTGCTGTAAACATCATAAGCACTACAAACATTTTAAAATAAAGCCGCAATTGCCTTTATTATTATCACTTTGGCACATGTCACCCCTGAAGTGCTTAGCAAACACACTCTCAATATGGAAATGTACTATTTTGTCCCAGGGGTAGTTAATGAAGTTTTGTAAGTAATGCTGCTGAAGTACCTGGCAATTATGCAAGTCATTTCTGCTCAGGGAAGATGCTGTAGGCTTCTCTGTTTATCTCATTAATTTCCATCTTCCTCTGTGTGAACTACCACTCACTACTCACCATTAAGTAATTTGTTTTCATACTGATATTAGAAAAGCAAAGAAAAACAAAGACCCCCATGGAGAAGGGTTTTTTGCTAAAAACAGAGTTTACAGAAGCACATCGACACGTTACAAACACACCCGAACAAAGCCTGTATTTTAGAAGTCCACCGTGTTGCAGCCTGTATTGCATTTATGCAATAATTATAATAATTTATGCACCTAGCTTTTTGAAGCTAGGTGTCATAAAACAATTTGCTGTCTGTTTTAAAGAGAGCACTTACCCAAGGGAATAGAGACGGCACTGCTTGCTTCTGATTCGATGAATGAGGCTAAACCTCTCGTCAAGACAGATCGACCAGGGTTTCTTTGCGGTTTCAGAGTACCCTCTCAGGCTGTTCAGGTTCATGTGTTCACATGAAATCTGTTGAAATCAAAGGATGTTTCATTTTAAGACATGACTTTTAATTTGTTTTTAATTTGCCTTCTGGGGAATTTAATTTGCCTTCTGGGGAAAGAGAGGAAAGAAGAAAAATGTTAATTGGTTTCATTTAAATCTGATTGTCAATCTGATATACAGCTATGGAGATTTGATGATTTTTTTCCCCTTGTTCGTCTGTTCTGCTTGATGAAATTTAAGGCTTACATAATCCCCCAGAGAGCAATGCAGTTGGAAAAGCAAATAATTAAGCATTAGTACTATAGCCAAAAAATCAATTTTCCTGAGAACAAGTTATTTCAGCATTAAAATGTTTTTTTTTTTCTTCTTTTCAAACCTTGGAGTGGATTCTGTATCCTGAATAATGTTAAAATCATGTCATGATTCAAGACTGTAATCACAAGTTGCAGTGTTACTGCAACGTATGCTGTATACCCTACCTAGAGTGTTCTGGAGTGTTCCGGAAGGGATTTAATCATTACCCCAACACATCCCCTCTCCAACAACAAAGGGATTTAAGCAAGTGCTTAACTAAACAGAGGAATCATAGCGTGTGCGTCTGTGGTGTGCTAGCTTAGACATCTAGAGTCTAAAGCCAGGACAAAAACACTGCAAAAGGAAAACAGACAGAGACCCTGCAGGGAGCAACACTGTAAGTCAAGGTCCTTGTAAAGACCAAGAAAGCAAGGACTAAAACGTGCTGGATTCATCAGAAACCCGGAAGTGTCAAAAATCACTTAACTGAGAGGTGAAGTCAGCTTTGCCAGCAGCTGAGCAGCAGCCTGCAACAGCCGAAACACAGCCGTGGCTGGGCCAGCGAAGCTGTGGCCCTGTGAGCCATGCCCTGCCGAGGAGCCCCTGCCTGCAGCACCAGCTCTGCCTGCCCATCCGGCACTTCACCCCCAGGCTCTGCCACACCATTCAGCACCATCCTCCTCCTCCACACCCACTCTGGAAAAGGCAGGCATGGAGCTGGGGGGTGCTGCAGCCTTTCCAGCATTTGGGAGCCAGGGCACCGGCAGGCAATGGGAAGCCAATGCAATTCGTACGGTTGTGGCCGTAGCAGTGGTGAGGAGGTAACGGGAAGCAGAAGTAAGCACCAAAGCCGTGGCTACTTTTGCCCCAGAGAGGCTGTGCCCTGCGGCACCAGCATCAGCTTACAGTTGGTTGCTGAAGGGCTTTTCAAACCACGTGCAGCCCAGCCATCAAATTCAGGGGCTGCAGGGCACAGGCTGCTAACACGCAGATAGGAAAGCAAAGACGGAGAAGGAACCCAGGCTGAGCCATCATGACAAAAAGCTGTTCTTTGGGCCCAGTACCAACCCTAGCTGCAGGGATGGGAGCTGGCGCTGCCAGAAAGCCGACAATAAAAAAGGTGGAAAGAACAGTGGTAGAGACAAAACCAGGTTGAACATCAGTCCTGAACTGACTGTTCTCATCTTGCTCTTTCCTCCCTCTACAGCAGACTCCCCAAGCTCAGCTCTCGGTTTTAGCCAAACTAAAAAGCACAGGTCTGGCCCCACCTAGAACCACAGAAATGGAACAATTTTACACAGGGGTGAGAGTAAAAACTGGAACCCAGCCTTTGCTGTGGTAGGCACTCTCCATCATGTGCTTTATAATAAGTAAATAAAACTCTCATTCTTTAAGAAGCTTAAGCTCTGAAAGTTCATTACCTGGAGCTTTACATCCAAAGAACTGCACACTGCATCACCACCTCCCTGCTCAGCTCATAATTCTCGTGGAAAATTCATAAAAGCTAATATAGCATCTCTTCATGCTGCTCTCAGAATCCACTCAGTTTTAAGCAATGATTTGCACTGCACCCCACTACCCATTTCCCATCAGTCACATAACAATCGAGGAATAAATGGCATTGCAATAACAAGCACTAATTTTAAGACACAGAAGAATAACGTGCTCTCTACAGAAAACTAAGATTCTGCAATGCTGCCACTTAATTGACTCATGGCATTACGAGCAATTACAACACTCAGAATTTGGAGCAATTTTAATAGCTCTTGCTACTTAATAGCTCTTGCTATCAAAAATAAAAAAAAAACTGAACTCCGCCTTTAGCACCATCACCAGTCTGTCGCATGATTTACAGAGCCTGATACACTGAGCTCACCTCCTGTTCTGGGCTTCTACTCACTACTATCACACAAACAACAGCACATATAAGATGGTTCTTCTGATCATTAGATACCGGCATTGAAAAAGCTTTTTCTGGCCACACCTCGACCCTGCTGACATGGCACCCTCCCCCTCCAGCAGTTCCAGCCATTCTACACTAACGGCAGGGAGCTGAACTTAGGCACAGTAATTAGGAGACACTTGCTCAGCAAACAAGGAAAATGAGATCCCATTCTCATCTATGTAAGCAGGATCCCATTTCCAGAAGTGCTCATACCAGTCATGGTGTCATCCTGTCAGTTATTAGTCCTATAACATCTGCCAGGTCAGGAACAAGGATTTCTCACATTTTTTGTTTTCACTTATGCTTGTCCCCCCCACCCAGGGTCAATTACTCTGGGAATGAAACTTCTCGATTAGTGTGTCAGAAGCAATAAACTCTCTGCTAATTGATGTCCTTGTAGGCTTTGACCCAACTAGTGGAGTTTAGCAGCATCTGCCACTGTTTATTAAGTCACTGAGGTGAAGGATGTTTTCAGCTTAATAAGCCTGCCGCAGCCTGAACTTCTGTACAGCAAAACAAGCAGCTCTACACACATCTCTTGCTGTCTTCACAAGCACCATCTTGCCTCCTGCCCTCTCAGTGCTGGCATGAGTAGAGGCAGAGATGCCATTTTCTTCAGCATTTAGCCAGGGGTACCCACAAACTGGAGGATAAGTGAACACTCTGCTACCCTCCCAGTTACCACACCATCAGCACAGCAGCATATTTTCAGACGTGTTTCAAATTAATCTCGTCTCAGCCTTGAAAGCATTGCATTAACAAAGAATTTCATATGTGAATGACATTTCAGTGACATTAGCACCTGAGGCTTTTTGCTGTTCTCTAGTGTAAGCGATGGTGCAGTTAAATCTGTATTCAAGGGTCAATTGCTGACAGACCTGGGTACTGAAAGCAGCCGCCCTGTCAGAACAGTGGGCACCCAGCAACTTTTCCATTTTTTATTACAGGAAATGCATGCGTAAATGCTGTTGTGCAGAAGTGATGCCTCCATTAAGACATGATGGCCCACTTTCTATATATGCTGAACCCTGGAAGTATCTGTCAACACAATGTGGATTTGGAAATGTCACCTTTGAAAAAGCACATAAAACCACTAATTTTCCAGATCATCATTTTTGTCCTCAAAATATCAGGATTCTATTGGTACTATTGGGACAACCTGTCCAAGTGAGGGACTGATGCCTTGTTCTCATTTTACCGGGAACCTCAAATGCATCCCTTTTAGCTAAAATGAGCCTGGTTATTGCATTATTATTGAGAGGTGGAGCGGTTAAATACACAGTTCTCTTGCTACAGAGTGCTCTGTATTTTTCTGTGTCTGAGAGAGAGTGGGAAAGAGACAGAGTGCGGGAGAGGAACCATGTCTGGAATTTCAGTCATATCGTACTCCTGTCAGGACACAAACCCATCTGGAAATAAAAAGCGAGGAAATAATGCATTCTTTCTACCCTGTGTTTTGACCTTTACATTCATGTTGACCATCACTGCTAGGTTAAGCAACTTTAGAAATAAAGCAGTTTTGAAACCAGTTTGGTGTGAGGTTAATCCCTTATCTGAGAGGGAACAGCCTGTGCCAGGCAAACTGTTTTCTAAACGGAGACTGAAATAAAAAACCTACCTGAGAAGTGCTAATGTACTTCAGGAACCTCAAGGCCTCATAGTTGAGGGAAGGAGTTGGACTTGCCCATGGTTGTAGTTCAATGTGCCATCTTACAGTCTGCAAAGCAAAGCAAAACAAAAAAAAAACCTTAAAGGAACAGGATTCATTTCTCAATACAAGCACAAAATGCAAGGGCTAATAAATTAAGGAGATTTAATTTCAAACAAAAAGAGCTTCCTAGGGGCTTGTCTACACATGAAAGTCATTTCAGAATAAAGTAGGGTTTGAACTACAGTGAAAGAGCATCTAACTATGATTTATCATGATCAGCTTTGAAAGCAGATGTAGGTAATTCAGAAAGAAAGGGCTCTTCATCCAGGATACATGTGTCAACACAGTTACTCTAGGACACCCAAGTAAGCCCTGGCTTGTAGAAATGCATGAAGAAAACCAAGATCTGAATAACTAAATCCTCTATCAAAACATCTGAAAACAGTGAAATAATTTTAATTTTTTACGTATTGCGTATTTCCACTTGAATGTCCACTAAAACAAGAACTTAGATTACAAACACTAATCACCAAAGGAAATCTCTGCAAACAATCTTTTCCTCTTTTAAAATCCAGATTCGACAGAAAAACAAGCTTCTTGTGGTCTTTGAGGAAAAAGTCCTCTTCCTCTCCCATGCCTGCCTGACAAGATACACCAGAATTCTTTGTTTTCCTGAAAAAAACCATCAGTGTGGCTGTCAGTAGCCCTACCACTCATTTTCATAGCCCCAGGGAAGTAGCTTTGGTGGATGCTTTCTGCACTCCCTGTGAGGCCCCTCAGCGCTGAACCTCGGGGATCCTGTCACTTTTGCAGCAACACTTCCCACATAGACAGAGTGGGACAGAAGAGGTCTTTCAGACACGTGCTTGCAGAGCAACGGGGCTCTGCACTCCCATCTGCGCCACCTTCTCCAAATTCTGCCCGCTTTTGTCACGCTGGGAAGTTTAGACGTGTTATCTCTTGCCCTCAAGTAGATAAAAATACAAGCACGGTGTTAAGCTGCACTAAATTAAGATTGATTCCTCATGGCTTTTCATCTTCAGGCAAAATAACTCACTTCTGTGGCTGGGCAGGTAGTATCAAGCTTTCCTTTAATCATCCCCAATTAACGGAGCTTCCATAATGAACAGGGTGGGGTTTTTTTTTCCCCATAGCTTCATGTTGACATTCATGTTGACATTTTCCAACATAGCTTCATGTTGACGTTCAATAAAATACCAAACAAACAGAACCCCCATGTGGGATTCCCACCGGACCTTATTTCAAACGAAGCCCTGGAAAACGTATAGGAAATAGCAAATAGCCGGAGAGGATGGAGGCAGATCAGAGAGGCAAGGTGCTGAGCCCCGCCAGAGAGGACAGCCCACCATCGCGCTGGGCTGCGGCGCCAGGCGAAGAGCCAGCACGGTGACAGCAGGGATCCTCTGACGCCAGAGAGGAACGCAGGAAAGAAGAAGAAAAGGCGATGCTAGAAAAGAAAGATGATTAAAAGGGACCACCAGACCAGATGGAGTTTGCCTTGAGCTGATATCGTGAATTGATATTTTTGCAGCCTAAGTAAACATAGCCTGGAGTGAACTTGAGTCAGCAGGTCTGTATGAGGCTCATTGTTCCTTTAGGGTTTGCTCTTCGGGGCTTTATTTTTTTACTGTAAAGAGATGCTGAAAAGGACATTTGAGATTTTTTTTTCCCGTCAGAAGCAGACAAAAGTAGCTTTTCCCACCCTGCAACTTGCCGCCTGCAGCAGACATAGGCTCCTATGCCCTGCACACCGCAAGGCTGGAAGCAAGCTCTGCAGCAGCACGTACCCCTGACCCGCTGATTGCAGAAGGCAGCCTGCAAACAGCTAACAGCAGGAGGATAGGTGCTCGCCAGGGAAGGCAATGCGTGTAATCTTTCAGAATGAGTCACAGTTCACACGGCTGAATAACATTTGCAATGACAGGAACGCTGCCGTTTCAACAGGCTTGAAAGCTGAAATGAAAATGGAGACTGACAATCATTTTCAGGCAAAATAAAAAAAAAAAAACCCAGACACCTAAACAGCTGTGCCCAGTTATTCTGAAATCTATTTGTGTGAGAAGTAGCTCATTAAGTAGGGGAATCGCAGGGTGGCCATTGTGGCACCATTCAGCAAGAATTCCCTCTGCATGGAGTTGACGGGGAAGTTAAAAAAAAAAAAATCCCTATAATTAACCACGTGAATGAGGTTCTTTTTCAGCAGAGTGCAATATCAAAGAGCGACTGTGGCTTTCTCTCAGGTTCTTAAAATCTTAAAGATGACAAATTGCCTTTCCACTGTCTCCAAAATGTATCAATAAATACATGACTATGAAGATAAAAACCCCAGTGACTTAATAATGCAGTTTCACTTAAAAAAAAAAAACAAAAAGAAAAAAAAAAAGATATCAACCTTTTGTATAGTTCTTTACACTGAGGAGCGCTACAGAAATGCTACTTTTGTGACAAAGATCAGACCTGAGCTCCTGTTTGACAGCAATGCTTTTGAATAGTTTCTCTTGGTCCCTGGCTCCTTACTAAGCAGCAGCCCATTTCCATTCACTAAGGAATACATTAGAGAGGTCTGTTCCTAAGACTTACTAAACACCCCTATGGGGCACTTCAATAGCTGCTTTACAATAAGATTCACAGACGATGAACGGGGGGGTGAAAATCGAGCACATCTCTTGGACCAGGTACACTCTCCCAGCAAGTAACTCACTGATGTCTGCGATGCAGTATGGGTATGTTCAGGACTCACAAAATATCCTCCTGAAGGAGCCATTCCCTGTGTACGCTGGTAGCCTTTATAGTTTTTCAGGTAATTTTCAGCCTGTTCCATAGTGTTTCCATGTAAGCCTTCTCAAATTCTGCAGCTAAAACGCACCCGGTCCCTGCTTACCAACTGCTTTGTGAAAATCAGGTTTATTCCTGATAAACACATGTTCCTTATTTTGAGGAATTTTTCCCCTCTAGACTCAGTAATTTTATTTACTCAAAGCAAACCTGACTGTGGCATTATGATTTGGGTTTTCTCACTTGTATCACAGAAACCTCTAGGGTAAATAACCGAGAGCAGGTTCCTGTGGCTGCTGTACAAAACAGGCTGAGGAGCAGCCCCTTTCCCAGGGGGCTTCTACAGCAAGTACACAAGAGGAGCAGAGGAGGTATTACGATCCATATTATACAGCTTTGGATATGAAACTCAGACAGACCTCCCCAAGGTGACCCAGGAGGAGCCAGAAAACTGGTTCAGATGTTCTGCATCTCTGGCGATTGCCATCAGTGTGCTATCTCCTCAGGGTAAGGACTCATCCAACGAGACACTGTGACTGTGTTTCCCAAACACCAATATATCCTGATTCCACAATACAAAGGCATGATAGTACCTGGAAAGTTACAATGCCGCTTAAAAATATCATAACTGAATATCTTGAAGTATCCCTCTATTACATTGTTTCACTTACAGGCACGTTACCTGAAACTTGCATTGTAAGAAAAATCAGTCTTCAGCAAGACCTTATCACAGGCACTGGTCAGACACCGACTTCAGCTACCCTAGAAGGCTAATGGATATCTAGAAACTGTTATCCAGAGTGATGTCTAAATTTTCACATGACATAACCACAGAGCAAAAAAAATCTTAAGGCAACGCCACTGCTTTGTTAGAAAAACTAGGACACATTTGAAGCTCTGATTTTTTTTCCAGGTACTTCACACTTAAAGATAAGGACTGACTGTGTTCAGCTCTGGGGCCCCCAACATAAGGAGGACATGGACCTGATGGAGTGAGTCCAGAGGGGGGCCACGAAGATGACCAGAGGGCTGGAGCACCTCTCCTATGAAGACAGGCTGAGGGAGCCGGGGTTGTTCAGCCTGGAGAAGAGAAGGCTCCGGGGAGACCTTATAGCAGCCCTCTAAGTACCCGAAGGGGACCTACAAGTAAGCTGGAGAGGGACTTTTTACAAAGGCATGTAGTGATAGGACAAGCGGTAATGGCTTTAAACTGAAAGAGGGCAGATTTAGATTGGATATAAGGAAGAAATTCTTCACCATCAGGGTGGTGAGGCACTGGAACAGGTTGCCCAGAGAAGCTGTGGACGCCCCATCCCTGGAAGCGTTGAAGGCCAGGTTGGATGGGGCTCTGAGCAACCTGGTCTAGCTGGAAGGTTGTCCCTGCCCATGGCAGGGGGGGCAGAACTAGATGATCTTTAAGATCCCTTCCAACCCAAACCATTCTACGATTCTGTGTTTCCTTCAGACCAATCTGACAGTAATCTGCAGTGACTTTTCTCTGGAGACCACTTCTTTCCAGATTTTTCTCCCTCATCAGCCATCTGTGACAGTTATCTGGTAATCCCTTAATAATCTGTAGTATACATATGATATCATTTGTCCTAAAAATCTGAAATCATAATATTAAGTCTAAATCAACATGTGCAAAGGACTCACAAACCAGCAGGTGTAAAATTGTAGGTTTGCAAAATTTCTGGCTTTCCCAGCATAAACTTGAACATATAAATCATTAAATTCTTTCCAGACCAATCCTAGTTTCAGTGCAGTAATTCAAAGAGCCCAAGCCCTCCCTTCTCTTCTGCTTACATTTGAAAGGGAATTAGTAAGTTTTCCATACTTCCATCTTTTTTAACTCAGTAACTGTTTTTTCCCTCCTTTCAATCTCCTACCTTTTTAGCAGCCTATTAAAATACAGAAACATATTAGCCATGTTTATAAACAAAAATTTGGGAATCCCATTGCCCTGCCAAGCAGTCTGTTGCTTCCAACCAAGAAACAAAAGACTTGTTAATACATACACAGCTGTCTTAATGAAAGGGAAAATATAAAACTCTCTGGTTAAAATGTGCAACAATAATTTTTTACATTTGAGGCAGGACCAAATGTGAGTGGAACGCACTTGTGGCAATAAACTCCATCAATAACCATAAATATTTGCTAGCCATAGAAACAAATGACATACGCATTTTCACCTCCAACTGTTCTGGCTGTACTCTTGTGTATCACCACGCTCACCCCTTGTGGAAGGGTACAGAAGAACAAGCTTGCTCGTGGGTGAAATTTTGCAGGGGTTTTATCAGTTTAAAATGCAACGGGTGGGATTCAAATTGTGAAATTTCAGACATCTACAAGGCAAACATGTATTTACGGGATTGCATTCCCGAAGGCTTGCCCGTGTGAGAGTAGATTGTCCATAGATATGATTTACAGGGCCTTAAGCATGTTATTTTGTAGTGGTCTTGTTTTGGTTTTTGCCCCAGTTCAAAAGTACCTTAAAGAGTGAAAGCAGCGTGTTGCAGCCCACCCACGTACTGGCTTTACGGGACATGCCAGCACACCTCACAAGGGACGTGCAACAAGTGCAAGCCTGCTGAGCTGAGTGGCAGGGCTGCTGAGGGTGGAGGCGGCCAAACCTGGCACGCTGCTCCTCTTGCTGATGATGCGGAGCAGCTCGGGCGGCGAACGATCCCTCGTGAACGCCCACGTTTAGTTTCAGAGGCAATTAGCTGGTTGACTCCAAGGGAGAGCCGGGAGTGAAGAAACATTCCTGCAGTGCAGACAACCAGGGACCAAGCTCCCACAGTGTGCTGGGGAGCGAAGCTATTTGGCAGGGCAGACGAGGCAGACAGGCTCTGTAAGGGAATGATTCACCTCACTATAGAGTAGACGTCTAAAATAAGTAAGATGAGTCACGCACTGGAAACATCCATGTCTCTCCATGACCTGCAAAGGAAGCCTGGAGGATGGGCTCAGAAACACCTACACTGTAAATATTCAACACCACAGAAGAGGAACCCCAGACCAAACTATCATACATGCCATGCTGCAGAAAAACTTGTATTTTAGAGGGCTGAGCCTACTCTTTACTTGTGAGCCTCAAGCAACACTTAATTGCACTTTATTCTTCAGCAACGCTGAATAACTCCAAATGTTTTATGTTTGAAGCAGGAATACGTGGCACAAGTAAAACAAACTCCACCTCAAAGCAGAGGTGTCAATAGGAAAGAACAAGTATGCCTCAGCCTTGGCAAAGACCTCCTTGACAAAAGGTCAATTCAATAAAGGTCCCCTTTAGCTAAATGTAATCAGCATCATACAGAGGGCTCACAAGAGGTACACTCATAAAGACATGCTACGCTACATCGTTAACTTAGAAGTAGCGGGGACATGCACAGGCTCAGTAAGCTGTAATTTAAAATACAGGCTTACAAAGTCACTATGACTCATATTTAAAGCTCTGAGTGAATTAACTTCTAATGTGGCTGGCTTTATAGGTATCCCATCCCTACATGTCTGAACTGTTTCTTTCCCTTTTTTTTCTTTTATATTACTATTATTTTCTATTTTTCTTTGCAGTTTGGCTTTCTTAAATATATGAGGTTTTCGCTTAAGAAACCACATTGCAGAAATTGCTACATATGCTCCTGCTCTGCATGTGTCTGCCTGTATTGA